GTCAAATTCAAAATTAAGTTTGATTGTTCTGTCAAAGACATTTTGTTTAATTGCTGTTAACCTGCCTGTAAATACACAATTTCTCAAAATGGGATCAATCTCTGTTGATTTGACTTAGCTCATTTCAAAACTTAGTTTTATTAATTGAATTCAGCTGCTTTAATGAATGGGTTGGTAATTTGGTATATTTAAGAAGCTTAAATTCCAGAAGACACTTCATCAAAAACATTACATAGAAAACATCATGTGGTAATTACGACTCATGAGATTCATATAGACGAAATCTTGAAGTTAAAAAAACGGCTTAGGGAAGTTTTAGCTCTTTTCGTATTTGCATTGTCGCCAACATACATGTAACACTGGAGTTATCATGAACAGAAGTTATGATAATTGTTGTATATATATCTTTTAACCAAAAGTCCAATTATACACTAATGTTTTTTCTCGACATCAACGATATGTTTTCAGTAGAATTTGGTTCATATGGATTTCATGAGATAAAGCATGTAAATCGTAAATACTCAAATATACGTAAGATGCTAACCTGATTTTTATCAAAGGGTTAAATTCAAGCAACGTGATCGGTTCTTGGCCAATAGGAATGTTTTCACTGTACTAGCTGGGTATTTCATGACAAAGTTCCCAATTGGAAAGGAAAATAGTGTTTTTAGAACAATTAAATGCTACAGCTATAGCTTATTAAACTGTGGTGCATGTTTTGTATGCAGGCTTGTACTTTGCATTTGTGTATGTGTAAGGCCGATACACAGGACTTCACGATACCAGTACGTGAATGCAATTGACTTTGTGCAAACAAGGGGAGTCACACAAGCCTGACACGGGATGATACTAATAAATACCCTTGAGTGCCAATTGAACGAAGTCCAAAAGATCGACCGCGCACTCGAGTACCGTACACTCGTCTACAATGCACTACACTATACTTGTTTGTCTATATTTTGGCTAAAAAAAATTGTTTGTTTTCAATAAAGCGGGGATTTCTTCAAACTAATCAATGATATGCTAACTGTATGTTGTGTTCAACTTTTTAAATGACTTACAGGAGGTAGGCATTACTCATTTAGCAGACAACACTCTAATTGTTTGGACTTTTTTTAATGACACTTAACATTTCGATTCCTAATTAAATAGTCCTGTTATTGAGACTGTATTTTGAATTTGATGGGGGAGTTTTTAAATGGCAAAGAAGCGTTCTTTTACCTAATTGAATTTATTTTGTGTATTTTTGGCAATACAAATTTATTCAATTTTAAATGGGGAATGGGAGGAAAAGTTGTCCCATAATAGGTTTAGGAGTAATTATTCAGCAAACGTAATTTGAATTATCACCCCCCCCCCTCCCTCAGGTGATTCAGGCGGGTATATTTTGGAGGACTCGAGTCAGTTTATTTGTTTATTTTTTGTTTGACTCGTGACTGGCATCAGACTCGTTACCCTTTGGACTCGGTTTGAGTCAGACTCGGCTAGTGACTGATTCGGACTATGTTCAACTCCAATCGAGTCCATTTCGAGCAACAAAAACGTGTTGAAACGTGAGGGGAAAGTGAAATGAATTTGTTAATGTACTTGTTTACATTTTTTTATATTATTCTAATGAAAACGGTCCCTTTGAATGGTGTGGAATAATGCTGTGTGTCTCTGAGCGATCACCTCGTTTGAATTTTGACAGGTTATTTGTGTATTTCTGCATTTTCTGTGTTTAACTGATTAGCAGGAAATACACTCTTTGGGAACACAGTTTGAAATTACAAAGAATTCAGGTAATTGCAGATTAAACAATACGAAACAGTTATGACAGCACCGCGCCCTAATTGTATTTGTTGAAGAAGGAGGAGCCATGGACTGCGTGGAGAGTAAAAACAATAGATGAGCGTTCAAAAAATAATAAAAGATACATTAAAATGTCTGGAATCAGGTTAAAGGTTTGATTTTACATTTTGATTCTGTATTCGATGTCATGTCGATCCCTGAACAATACGTGTAGTGTTATATTAATTATGAGCCTGATATAGTACATGGAAAAACATGAGTCAAGAAGTTGCTTCTGGCAAGACCAAAACAAAACAAAAGCAATATGCAACGGCAAAATCTCAAACTTGCCAAACAGTCTTTCAGTTTTGAATAAATGAAGCAATTTGGACGTCAGACAGGATTGGTGAGATACGTACCTACGAAACAAGTGAACATAGATTTCTCCTCAAAAGCAGCAAATGTGGAGGGTCTTCTTGCAATTTCGAAAAGAAAGTTATTAAAAGCACTGGCCGGGTTTCAATTGTACATTTGCAATTGTGAGTGTGAATTACCTCCGAATCTCTGCCCACGTTCTGCCCTAGATGTGGCAACATAAAACAAACAAGTTGCAAACAAATGGAATCTGAATGATAATGAGATATCCAAATTCTGCACAATAACAAGAACTGACAAGTCCGATTTTCTATGAGCTTTAATCCAAGAGAGGTCATCATACAGCCACTTCCCAGATGGTTTATCAGAGCTCTGCAAAAATTAAATTGAACTAGAGTTTCGCGTTTGTTGAGTTACAAACGCAGAGTGGTCGGGCGGACAGCCTTTTCATTATACACTGCCCAGTTAAGTTAGGAATATATGTTTATGTAGAAAAAAGGATCACGAAATTAAATCCCTTCAAGTACAATCAATGTTTCAAAAAGGTATCTTTAACGGTGTGATCAATTTCAGTAAACATTCTATGTGCACAAAAAGTTATTTCTGGTTTGATGACGTCATCAGTCAAAAATAGTTAGTGAATACTGATAAAGTTCGGAGAGGATAATTTTTCATTGTAAAGTTAAAATAACGTATGAAAAAATGGGAAATATAATTGTGTTAATAACACCTAACTTCCGGTTTGATGACGTATTGATAACACCTAACTTCCGGTTTGATGACGTCCCAGCATATTAGAGATCCAAAGGTGAACATTGTAATGGAGATCATTATTTGGACTTCGAAGATATGACAGGGATCACATGATGATAGAATTAAATTAAAACTATGATCTTTTTCAAATTCTCATTAAAGTAACTTCCGGTCTGATGACGTCATGAATTTGAAACCTCGCCAAGTTATCTGTGGTTAATCAGAGAATGTCAAGGGGCGATTTGGTAAAATTTGGACGGATGGTTTTACAATTAAAGAAGGGAAACTCTATTTTATGTGCCGATAGGGGGCGCCCTTTCGGATGATGACGTCATCACACTGTTTTTTTTTGCGTCTTGCGTTCTCACTAAACACTTTCATAATATATATGTCTGTAGTAAAATGCTTCCGCTTTTGAGTTATATTCAGTTTGTATTGCACTTCCGGTAACACCGGAAGTAAAGGTCAAGCGGTTTTGCGTCCGGGAACACGAAATTTTCCTCACGGCATAGTCTACAACCTCACGAAAAAACGAACACGATACTCTATTTAGTTCAAAAGATATAACGCAAACTATTTTGTCAAAATTTGCCCTTAAATAGCTTGTAATTTGATACCTGATGACGTCATGATGACGTAACAAAATTTATAACATCTTTGTAACATGGTACAAGTTCACACAAGGTTTTGTGATCATACCGTGAACCGTTCGGAAGAAATGCTGCTTTGTTTTGATGTCAGGCTAACGTCTTCATTTTGAATTCACCTAACTTTGACCTTCCGGTAGACCCGGAAGTAAAGGTCAAGCGAGTTCACGTATGCGACAAAAACTGTTAAGCGATTAATGGTCTATCTGATTTACAGAATACAAACATCATTGATTGTTTAAGAGTTATAGGTGAAAGTAATTGGTCACTTTTTCAGATAAAATCACTTGTAATTTGACACCTGATGACGTAATCATGACGTCACAGTAATATGCACCACTTCGGATGAGGGTCGATATATATTGAAAGCTACAAGTTCATACCATATACCGTTTAAGAGAAAACCCGCGGAGAAGTATTGTCCGGAAAAAAAAAAGAAAGAAAGAAAGAAAGAAAGAAAGAAAGATTAATCGTAACAGATCCAAAGAGTGGTCGGGTTGTGCCCGACCACTCAATAAAAGTCAAAGGCTCCATAATAACACCAACTAGTTTCATAGGATATAACGTTTCCTTTTTTTGTGATTCATCGCTAATAGACTTTTCATAGAGAATGACTCGGAGAATAAATCTTTAAAACATCCGTGCTTTATATGAGATTTGCATGTTTTCCGACACAATTATATTGGGAAAGATGCGGCAATTAATGCAGTTTAGAAGTTATAAAAAATTAAGAAAAAAGAGTAGAAGGGGCTCAGATGTCCCATTTCCGGCAATGAGCGGCGGTAACTTTTAAGAAAAATGAAAAAGAAAATGGAAGCTTCTCCGGATCCTATACCGCCCTCACATCAGGAATCAGGCTCATTTAGACATCCAAAATAGGAAGTGTTTGTTTTTTAATGGCCGTAGGTACTTTCGAAACCTCCCCAACCCATCCATCCCAACGCCCCGCCCCCCCCTTCAAAAACAATGAATGCATCGGAGAATTTTTTTTTTAAATACAAAAAAAAAATGTACAATGGAAATTAAACATATATACCTATCTAATGCAGCTTTTTTTTTTAATGAGATGGGAAAACATGAGTGCACTGCCAAACAAAAAGGCCATCCCTTGTTTCATTGGAAAACAAGGAAACATGTGAACCCTTGCAAATTACCCCCTCAACGGTTACAAAGAGAGAGTTGGGCAGACAACTTGAAAATACATTCGAATGCACTGGCGATGACGCTTGATGAAGCCCTCGGTATTGGCTTATTTTGTTTTTTTATTAATTTTAGATGCATTTTTTGGGGGTCCAGATTTAGAGTAAGTCAGTAAAAGTTTCGAAGAGATGGTCACGAACACAATCTATAGTACTGTACCATGCATAGGAAAAATTGCCGTGCTGTCCCTTGGAGGCGCTCTTCGTATTACATTGCACTTCGATTTCTAGTTCTACTTCCGCGTTGATTGCTTCGAGCCTGAAATTTAATCAACCGAAAGATTCGCTTCTTTCGACTCAACAGAAACATCATTTTGGCATCCAAACCGGGAACGTCGGATAAATGTGAGCACAATAATCTTTGTCTTCCTTAAACCCTGGAGAAGCATTTTGTTGTGAAATTCTGATGAGGCATTTTTTACGTGTGTGACTAAATGTACATGTTGTATTGTAACCACGTTCATGGGTGTATGTACATGTACTCCATGTACTTGTTATTACATGTACATGTACATGTATGGCTGTTAATATTGTTGATGTACCCTAACGTGGCGCGGCCCCTAACGTGGCGCACTTGGATTTTTCGCCGGTAGCGCCTAGCTAGAGCAAAATTTTAAACTGAAATTTCACAGAAAGTGAAATTTCATCAAGTTCTAAACGGTTCTGTTCATAAATCGCGAGCCTTAGTTATTTACCCGTAACAATGTAAGAAGGAAAAGCTATTTTGGCGTGATTTTCCGATTTTATTTTCAAGTGCAAAGTGAACCCTTTGAAAATGCCCTGAAAAATAAGAAAATAATTTTCTGACAAACATTTGGCTGGGTATGTAAGTAAAGATATTAATTATTTATCAGAATTTATCAAGTTTATAGGAATTCGTAAGTGTTAATTTGGAATTTTCCAAGATTTATTCAAGTGCGCCACGTTAGGGAACACTCCGCCAATTTTTGCCCAATTTCCGGACACCACCATTTTTGAATTTCAGATTAAATTTTATGAAACTGAAATTGTTCACAGAGGTAAAATAGCAAGCATTGATAAGGTAAAAGTACTAGTATTTTATTGCATGAATTTGAGGTTTGTCAACAAAGAGGCTTGGCAACACTACACGAGGAAAGTCGGGTAAGCTTCGAAGTGCGCCACGTTAGGGAACACGACTATATATCGAGTAATGCTAATGGCATTGCTCGATGCAGAGGACTATAGATTTAACGTACAAGTACAGCACACATTTTGTTATTATTTTAACATGTTTTAAAAATTAATGACGGCTATCATGATAATGGAGATGAAAATAAAACGATAAAGACGAAACCATGTCATGTCATCTCAAAAAAAATTAATGCGAAAGATTGGAGTATCCATATCTGTCCATCATGATAATTACTATATTTGCTGTGTGGCTCCTAAATACAAAGGAAGCCCTGGAGATAAATATTCATGGGCCACTATGGAGCATCTTACAACTTTAACTTTGTACATGTTGATGTTTTGCATTCAGAAATTTGACATATTATGATAAAGTGCAACATATTTAGATGATAGAGTCACTTTCAGATTTCTGCCTTACCGGGTTAACGAATTAACGAACAATATCACAAATCCAAGGGAGCATCAGAAATAAAATAAAATATGTGATGTTTTGAAGAGGAGGTGCAGTTTATTGATAAGGATATGATTTTGCACTTGTTTCTTTTCAATTTACATCTTGAGAGCCCTGCACACATCGATTCATTTCAAATGCAAAAACACATCCTGTCAATTACTAGTGGTCCCTACCCATAAAGGGAAACATAAACGTGATACATTTTTATCACTGTTACATGTATGTTTTAAATAAAATATTTTTCTTCACATTTATTAGACAAAAATGGCGACTGGACCTGCAGTAAGTTCAGCTCTAGAGAAGATCAGCAGACATCATCTTGAGTGCAGCATATGTCAAGAGAGATACCAACAGCCCAAGATACTGGAATGCCTGCATAGCTTTTGTGAGCAATGTCTGCTGAAATATCGTAGCACGAAGCACCAGGACTCTACGGTGATCCCATGCCCTGTGTGTCGGCAGGAGACAAAGCTTCCTGAAGTTGGGGTGCAGGGTCTGAAAACAAACTTTCATCTGATTGGTCTGGTTGAGGAGTTTGAACTGCAGGAAAAGTTGGTGTGTTCGGGTGGCACAAAGCTGCTCTGTGAGACGTGTGATGATGGCAATGAGGCAACCTGTCGATGTTTGGACTGTGCGCAAAACATTTGTTTACGTTGTCAAAATTCACACAAAAGATTTGCTACTTCATCAAGCCACATAATTGCTACTTTGGAGGACATTCGTGAAGGAAGGGTGAAAGCAACGAAGGAAAACCCAAAGCAACATTCAAAATGTCCAAAACATGAAGGCGAAGTGACACGATTCTTTTGCACAACGTGTGAAGTGCTGATCTGTCGAGATTGCACTGTCATTGACCACCGTATGCAAGAACACTCGTATATTGACAGAAATCTGGCCATATCAACGTACAAGCAATCATTAGCTGAACTGTTTCCTCCACTTGAAAACTCAATGACAAAACTCCAGAAGTCACGAGAGAACGTTTCAAAGATAAAAGAAGATTTGGGTGTCACAGTTAAGAGGGTCATGACAGAAGTGCAAGACAGAGCAGCTGAGATACGAGCAGAGGTAATGGCTCAAGAAAATCGCATCCTTGACGACATTAAAATCATTCAAACAGATCGTGAACAAAAACTCGACGAATATGAGAAAACTATGGGCTTGGCAGCGGAGAGATGTCAGCATTCACTAGACACAGCTAGAGAGGTGACAAAGACTGAATCGGATAGTGACTTTCTCTCACTCTATGCCACAATCAGCAAAGACTTGAAATTGTTGGCAGGTCAGAGTCTGCCTAGGGTTGACAACAGGCTTGCATTTCTGAAGTTCAAGCAGAGTGAGGGTGTTGGTGGCATCAGTCTGGGTGTGGTGGTGGTGGAAGACAAATGGGAGCTGTGTCGGGAGTTTGGTAGAAAAGGAACAGGTTCAGGAGTGTTCAGAGGGGCTTATGGCATTGCTGCTCGTCAACCTGATGAGATTGCAGTGGCTGACATCAACAACAAATGTGTTGTGATTTGCAGCATCGATGGCAACCAGAAAAGCACGATCCCGATGCAAGGACGTAAGTTTAAATTACCGTGCATTGCAATCTGCCGAATCATGCACACAAATAACATTTTCTTTGCTCTTCATTATCTTTTTTGTTTTTAATTTTCCTCACGAGATCTGATGAAACGGAATCACATTAACTTTGATGCGAAACTTTTTAGGTGAATACCTTTGTATTCATTACATATAGATTTTTAAATATATATGCATCGTCCATGTCAAAAATCAAATTTCCTTGCTATTTTGTTAATAAATTGAACAAACTCTACTGTAAATTAAACCTCATGTTTGATATTGGGTTTTTGCCCTGTCCCCACGCATTTTAAATTAGTTAGCTCTTGTTTTTTTCATGAATTTGGTTTTCTCTTTTCATGACATTTTTCCAAAGGATGAAAGTTCAAGGAAAATCCATTTAAAATGAAAGAAATATAAGTTTTCCTGATACACTGGTTCACTGGTTAATTTCTCAACTGTTGTCAAAAGTCTTTTAGTTTTTCTCCTATTATCTCACTGAGCGATACAAAAGGTAATTATCGAAAGGCTTAAACATCACAGTGTACAGGATACCTTAAGACGCAGTGATATCCCTAACATGTACACGTACATTTGACAATGTAAAAAATTTTGGCCAGGGGCACATTAATTATCACTCCAATTCATTTTTGATATTTTTATAAATTGCAATTCAGATTGAAATTGACCACTATTGTTTGTTTTTACATCATGCCCCCTACAGGTCCACTCGGCATCGCAGCTACACGCGTTGACAATCGTTTGGTGGTTGTTGAGCAAAGCGCACCCCATGTAAAGGTGTTCAACAGCGACAACACGCTGGCATACAAGTTCCCAACGGTGCCACCAAGTGAGGTCGGTAAGACCGCAGTTGACCTCAAGAGTGTAGCTGTCAAGAATGATGGTACCATTGCAGTGGGGGATGTGGCGAGGATGGTATTGACAGTGCACAGCCCCACTGATGGTGAGCTCCTTCATACCATACCAGTCAAGATTAAACCTTATTTTCTGGCTTTTGACAGCAATGATCGAGCGATAATAAGTGACTATAAATCACAGACAGTGGATATTGCCGGTTGCAATGGTACTACGAAACGCACCTTCAAACCCACCATCAATGGTCAACCAGTGAAATACTGCAACGGTGTGTGCACTGATGGCTCAGGTATCTATGTTGCAATGCCTAATGGTGAACACAATGGTCATATCCACAACTATGACCTTCAAGGTGGTTTTCTCAAGTGCATCGCACAGGGTCTGGATTGGCCATATGGAATCATGTTAACATCAGACGGACAGCTGGCAGTGGCTGACCGGTCCTCGGTGAAGATGTATGACCAAGTGTGATACGACATTCCTATCAGTCACGTCAAATTAAATTGATTAGAACAATTGCATCCAATCAGTTCTATAAAATGGACCCTACCAACTGATCAATGGGATGGAATAATGCTGATATCAACGATCTACTCGTTATAATATTGGCTAGTCATCATCCCTCCTATGCAAACAAACATTCTGTGCAAGTTTTCCTTTCAGTCAAAATCAGTCTAGTGACTGTTTTTAACGATTGAGTGCTCTCGGACAAAATAAAGCAGGATTGACTGGCTGTGATTTATGTGTCGTGCTACAGCTATGCTTTGACTGTAGGTGATAGATAAGACATGTGCCTACTACTTATCTGCTTGTGACTGTTGACTTAATTTGACTAGTCACAGTGCTTGCTTGAAATGCATGTATGATCTGACTGTTTGGTGACTAGCCATAAGAGGCATGGTAAGAAAGAGGGTTGGTTTGTTGACTGTCTGTGACTGATCAGACAGCAGGAAGGTTGAACAATACATTGAAGTTTAGCCCAGATGTCCAGTTGGATGCGCATACACTAATTACAATGTATCATAGTTTAAGCAATACATGCCAACTATGTTAAGTATAAGTATGTTAGGTATTTGAATTCTAGTTCAGCTTGCCTGTAAATGCGCAATTCTGGGAAATTGTATCATTCTATGTTGATTTCACTTTGCTCCTGTTAATTAAAAGTTAATTTGGCTGAATTCAACTGTTTTTCAACAAAAAAAAATGGCTTGGTTGATAGTAATAGACTTGAATTCCCCAAAAAGTAAGAGAAACAAAATATCACATTGAATCAAATGCGGTGAAAGTTTGTAAAAAAATTGTTTACTAATGAAATTGAAGGGAAAAGCCTAACCGTAAGCGTGGTTGAAGCAAATAAGATTTTTAATTCATGTATAAAAATTCATCCTAAGATAAAGTACTATAGAGGTGAATAACTGAAATCGTTATTGGAGAGAAAGTTTGGGATAGCATTATTACGATTTGTTTGTATATCAATTGTTCAGGTACGTTAGATGTATTTTATTTGTCAACAAACAATACACTGGCTCTGACAACTGAGGATTATTGTAATATCATTATCAGTCCTTTGTGCAGTCCTTTATTATCAGTCCTTTATGCATCATGAACAGAAGTTACGAGAATTGTTTTATCTTTTTAACAAAAGTCCAATTTTACGTGTGTAATTTTCTCGAAATCAACGATATATTTTGTCTAGATTTTGGTTCATATAGATTACATGAGGATAAGTTTGTAAATGGAGAACACTGAAATAAACGTAAGATAACCTAATATTTGTTTAAAGGGTTAAATTCAAGCCAAGTGATCGGTTATTGGCCAATAATAATTTTTGTTTAATGCTTCATCTAGTTTAAAACTGTGGTGCATCATTTGTATACAGGCTTTTGGAGTCGTGTATTTAACTACTGCATGAGAAAGGCCGATACACAGGGCTTCACGATAACAGTACGTGTTTGTAGTTGGATTCAGGTTGCGCAGACAGAAAGGGTCAGCCTGACACGGGACCATACTAAATCTCCTTGAGTGCCAATATTGAACGAAGTTCAAATAGATCGACCGCGCATTCAGCGCCTTACACTCGTCTCATGATATACTTGTCTATCTGTATATTTTGGCTTAATGTTTTCCATTTCCATGGAATAAATTTAGGAAAAAAACAACCTTGTTTTTATTTCAATAAAGCGAGGATTTCTTTACTATTCATCTGCCTACAAATGAAGCTTTGTTAAAAGTGACTTACATGGGGCATGTTTTACTCATTACGCCGACAACTCTCTAATCGTTTGGACTTTTTGTCCATGACATTCATCCTTTAAATTCCTAATTAAATAGTCACTTATCGACACTGTATTTGATTACAGAAAGTAGGAATTTCGTAAAGTCAGAACATTTGCCCCACAATACTAAATAAATATAACCCATGCACGTTAAAAGCAAAGTAATTACGCGGTTTGTATCTTATTTATTTTTGTGTTTTCCCCCTTTTTCTTAATACAATTGTATTCAATTTAATTGAGAAATCGAAGGAAAAAAATGTACTGTATTAAGTTTAGGAGTGATTATATTACAAACTTGATTTTGAATCACCCAGGGTGACTCTTTGAAAACACCTTTCAGTACGGCACCGAGAATACATGTACCTTTTTTTTTTTTTTTTTTTTACTTTAAGCAGTTTACATTTTCAGTAAATTTGATATTTTATTAGAGAGTTCTGTGATCTCCAATTTTTTTTAAATATCCATTTCTAATTATTATGTGTCACCGCGTTTTTAGTGCAACTTGGTTCTCAAGAAACATATGTAGTTCCTGAAAATTAGGGGTCACTTGGGAAAGGAAACACCGTAGACAAATACATACTCTGAACAAAAGCTCAAAATAATTCTGGTGACTGCCAGCATTGACGCAGTATTTACAAATCAATTATTACCCCCAAAAAGTTAACCCACTTTTCCTATGATCGTGTTATTTCGCATAGACAAAAACTGCTCATACAACAATTGCATCCCTGCAATTATATGAATACGAACCCTTTAAATGATATGGGAAATCGCTGAAGTGCTTCTATGAAATATCACCTCTATAGAATTTCGGTAGATTTTTTTTTATTTTCTGTTTTTAAGTGATGAGCAGTTAATACAAACATTGGAAACAAAGGGTGGAATTACAAAAAGTAATGGAATTGAACATTATACACAATAAAAACACTTATTCATGACAGCACCACTTTTATAAACCGAGCAAAGGAGAGTAAAAAAAAAAGGGAACAGAATGGTAAACAAGTGATTCAAAACAATTGCATTTACATTTCCCTTTCTGAAATTGAAGATCAAGAAAATTGAATTTACATTTGTATTATGTATTCAATGTCGTGTCAATCTCTCAAAGTTAGTTGTAGACGCATAATGGGGGGAATTTGGGCTTGCAGTTTACATCTGTAAAGACAGAACTTAGTTGAGAAAATCATGAGTCAATAATGTGTTATTGGCAAAACCAAAACCAAAACAGAAGCAAATTATTGGCAAAAATCTCAAACCTGCCAATTCGGATAGAGTCTTTGACTTTGTAATCGAAGCACTTAAGATTGCAGGTGTGATACACTCACAATCAAGAAACATATGAACAGAGGTCGGTTTCAGGGTATTTTCCACAAAAGCAACAGGTTGGGTGTCTTTTCTTCCAATTTCGGAAGGAAAATTATCAAACACACTGGCCGGGTTTAACTATTGTACGTTTATAATTGCGAGTGTGAATCGCCTCCAAATCCCCATCTACATGGGTTAATGCCTAAAGAAGAGGAAACAAACAAGTTGTAAACATTTTAGATGATCGGATGAGACGTCTCAATCCTCCACAATGATCAAAACTGACCAATCCAATTTTGTCCATGGGCTTTAGTCCAGTAATCAGTCACTTGTTGGCAGCTCATCAGAGCTCTGCAAACAGTGAATTGTATAAAATGTCAATGAAGGCCTCAGGAATAAATACCAGTGGGTTTAATGAGGAAAGGTTTCCAGCCGTCTTTTGAATATCGGAAATGGATACAAAAAGAAAGGCTTGAGGTAAAACAAAACAATACAAAGCATGTGCATGCACATTGGAATGCACGTCTTCCGACTGTTGGACGAGATGCAGCAATTGAAACAGTTTAGAATTTAACAAAACATTAAATAAAAACTCAACAGTAACAGCAGCTCGGATAATAACTTCCCGCATATGAGCCTGGGTTTTTAAGAAACGCGAAGAAAAAAATGAAAATGTCCTTTTTTCTATATATTATATACATTCCTTATAAGGTTCATTTTAAATTATTTAAAGGCTGGAGCTACTTTTGAAACCTCCCTACCCCCAACCGAGCCCATCCATCCCAACGCCCTCCCCCCCCCCCCCCCCCTCGAAAAAAATCAATGAAAAATAAGCAAGGGGAAAATAGATTCTAAAACATATAATAATAAACAAAAATGAAAAAGGCAAACACTAATACAATATTCAGACCAAAATTAAAACAGTCTTTATAATGCAGTTTTGTGGAATGAGATGGGAAGGAGAAGTGCCCTGGGAACAGAAAAGAAAATGTGTGCAAAGTACCCCCTCGACGGTAACAAAGAGAGAGTTGAGGGGACCACTGGAAGAGACATTCGAACGCACTGTCGACTGAACCTGATGACGCCTGATGACGTTAAATTTAAAAATTAATTTGAGAATTGTTTTTGTTTGGTACGACTCAGAGTAACAAAAAAAGTTCGAACACTTGGTCGCGAACACAATCTAATAGTAATAGATAGAATTAGCACAGGATAAAATGACGTGCGGTCTCTTGGAGGCGCTCTTCATGTTACATTTCACGTCGAAGTACTTCCGCGTTCACTTTTGCGTCCAGGAAACCAACCGAAAGATTCTCTTCTTTTGACTCGACAGGAACAACAAGATTTTACCATGCAACCCAGAAGAGAGGGATAAATGTGAGCAAAATATATCTGTCAGTGTCAACCGTGAATCCTGGAGAAGCATTTTGTTGTGAAATGATGATGTTGGGTTTTTGGTAGTCCGAGTAACTTGGACATGTTGGACCCACAGACCCAACTTATCGCCTTTTTTAACATTTGGACATGGTCTGGCGATAGTAAGGTCCAAGCTAATACCGCGACCTAGACAACACAGTCCCAAAAGCCAACATTTTCCAACAAAAAACATCAGATTTCACCTTCAAAACGGCCTCCAGATTACTAGATACATGTATGCCACCTGATGTACAAGTAGACATCGATAATTAAGATGGTTGTACTGAAGTTTACTTACGATCCGAAAAAAGTGAAATTTTCCGTTCATTTCGGAGAGCTCCCCTCGCGATCTTGAACACGTTAAATTTCCGATCGTGTTTAATGTTTGAACGACGCGATTTCTTCTACATGCCCAGCGTACATTCGATGGTCCCCGTATCCCGAGTGCGATTCCGTTACCGAGTTGGGTCCAAGTTACTCGGACTTGGTTTTTGGGGGGTGTGTGCGACGTGTGGAATTATAACGTTCGTTACTGCGTTAGGCATGTTATTGTTTAGTTCACAAATTTGGGACTCTCTCAATACTTTGTGTGATGTTACTGTAATGTTGGGCTTACTTGCTGTGTCAGTAATGGCAGTACCCGATGCAAAGTACCGGTGCAAGCAAAACTAATCGTGAAGTGGAGCACCGGCCCGTTCAATATAAGAGAAACAAAATACACTTTCATGTTTTGGGACTTAGGCCTATACATGTATTTATAAATTAAAACCTAAACATTTGGCAAACATGATATGTAGCATGAAAGATCCCTTTATGTGTTTGGAATCATCTAAATAGTTGGCTAACATACCATGTTGCATATCAGCTAGCTTAATTTTGTGGAAAGAGGGCAGGGTTTTGATTTATGAACACAATTTGTAAATAATAATAAGAGGTGTCCTAAGCCACCATGACTACATAATATCGATATTGTAATTGACATAATTACATGACACATTTTATTAGAGTGTCTGCGCTCATGTATATGCTACCTTGGCCTGGCTATTGCTTTATCCTTTTTAGAAGGCTGTGAATATTTGGGCGGCGGCGTTTTCTTTTTGTAATATGTTAATTTAGCGGAGGTTCTCGATTCCTCCGGCAAACTAGCGTACGCTAAAAGAAAGCCGGCGCAGCCCCGTTGAGAGGTAATAAATATCGGATACTCAAGGAAATGTTCCTCAAAAGTAACTTTTGAATCCACATCCTTTAATGTAAACGAATGACAGCTTGTAGAAGAACATAAACATAAAGAGAAAACCATGTCATGTTACCCCAGAAAATTGATTGAGACAGAATGCAGTACAGGCCTACTCCCGATAATGGTAATCCTTATCTTTAGGACACCTCTATTTTTTACAAGTTCTGTTCAAAACTGATTTTTGCAGATGATTCCAGTACCACAGTGACTTTTGCAGGCTAAAGCAGTCTTTTTTCTTAAACTCATGTTACATGTAGTTGTAATTTTGAAAGCACTTTCAAAGAAAATGTGACTTTCCTACCTTTTTTTTGCAGTCAGGTGCATGTTGTAGTTCTCACAACACGATTGAAAGCCCTACATAATGAAAGCTCGCTGCTGATTGGCTGCTAAAAAAATAAAATAAGATGTTTATTTTTGTATCAGCCAATCAGCATCGAGCTTTCATTGCATCGAACTTTCATGTTTGCCGTCTTGGTTTTTGAGTCCGTTTTCTGATTGCCACTGTCGTCTTTTACCCCTTAGTTGCCTTCATAAATCAAAGCCCTGCCCTCTTTCCACAAATTAAACCTGCTGATATTCAAGAAAGTGTCACTGCCAATTGCTCAGATGTGTCAAGAAATATCAGAATGCCAATTTTGAGTGTCATTTATTAGTCAACTGTTTTGGTGAGTCTTTCCCTTCCTATATAGGAACGGGGTCCTACTAAAGTAAGGATTACCCCGATAATTATGAGGCCACTTTCCATATGATGAACAACAAAAGTGCCTTCTTTAACTTTTTTTTCTGAAATAATTATATTTTACACTGGAAAAATAATAATTGTGTCTTTTTTTCTTTTCTTTTTTAAAGTGTCTTCAACATTCCAAATTGCCCCTGTAAAGTGCATGATGTATGAGATTCGCTTTATTTTTCTTCTGGTTATTAACCAAGCAGCTTCCATAGTGAATGTCCTTTTCAGGAAATGTAGCATGTACATAAGGCCATAATGCTTTGTGCTCTCAATACCAAGGAAGGCCAGTATTTGAGACACATACTTTTTATAGGACAACTATGGATCATCTTACAACTCAACGTACCACAAGTAAATTGATAGATTGCATTCAGAAACTGGACACGAATGATGAATTTCAACATTAGATGATTAAAGTCCATTTCAGATTTCTCTGCCTTCCCGCATTAACCCACATCTAAAAATGCCAAGGAAGCATCACAGATGAAATAAAAGTTGTGATATTTTTAAGAGGATGTTCAGTTATGGATAATGGGTGTGATTGGACTTTTTAATTCACATCTTGAGAGTCCTGTACCTGGTGATTCGTTTTAAATACAAAGCACATCCTGCCAATTACTATTGGTCCCTACCCATATAAGAAGACATGCGAATGATAAAGTCATGATACATTTTTAGCATTCTTATGTTTTTAATAAAAATACGTTTCTTCACATTTATTAGACCAACATGGCGACCGGACCTGCAGTAAGTTCAGCTCTAGAGACGATCAGCAGACATCACCTTGAGTGCTGCATCTGTCAAGAGAGATACCAACAGCCCAAGATATTGGAATGTCTGCATAGCTTCTGTGAGCAATGTCTACTGAAATACTGCAGCACGAAGCACGAGGGCTCTACAGCAATTCCTTGCCCTGTGTGTCGGCAGGAGACGAAACTTCCCGAGTCTGGGGTAAAGGGTCTGAAAACCAACTTCTATCTGATTGGTCTGGTTGAGGAGCTTGCACTTCAGGAAAAGATAGTGGGATCAGGTGATGCTTGTCTTTTGTGCGACATTTGTGAGAGGGACAACGAGGCCACGCAGCGATGTCTGGATTGTGGCCAGTATATGTGCTCAGTCTGTAGCAAAATGCATCTTCGCTTCGCTTCCTCATCAGACCACAAAGTTGCTCCCTTGAAGGACATTCGTGAGGGAAAGGTTACAGTGACAAAGAAACATCAGAGACAACATCCAAAATGTCCAATACATGACGGTGAAGTGACAAGGTTCTTCTGCAATACCTGTGAAACTTTGATCTGCCGAGATTGTACCGTTGTGAACCACCGTATGCCAGAACACTCATATATTGAGAGAAATGAGGCCACATCGGTTTTCAAGCAGTCATTGGCTGAACTGTTTATTCCACTTGAAAGCACCATGATGGATCTCCAGAATTCAAGAGAGAAAGTTTCCAGAATAAAAGAAGGTTTGGGTGTCACAGCTAAAAGGGTCATGACAGAAGTGCAAGGCAAAGCAGCTGAGATACGAGCAGAGGTAACGGCTCAGGAAAATCGCCTCCTTGACGACATCAAAAACATTCAAACAGATCGTGAACAAAAACTGGGCGAATGTGAGAAAACTATGGGCTTGGCAGCGGAAAGATTTCAGCATTCACTAGACACAGCTAGAGAGGTGACAATGACTGCATCGGATAGTGACTTTCTCTCACTCTATCCCACTATCAGCAAAGACTTGAAATTGTTGGCAGATCAGAGGATACCTGGGGTTGACAACAGGCTCGCATTCCTGAAGTTCAAGCAGAGTGAGGGTGTTGGTGGCATCAGTCTGGGTCAGGTGGTGGTGGCGGAAGACAAATGGGAGCTGTGTCGGGAGTTTGGTAAAGGGGGAAGCAGTGCAGGAGAGTTCAATGTGGCTTGGGACATTGCTGCTCGTCAACCTGATGAGATTGCAGTGACTGACCTCTTCAACAACCGAGTTGTGATCTGCGGCATCGATGGCAACCAGAAAAACACGATCCCAATGCAAGGACGTAAGTTTAAATTACCGTGCATTGCAATCTCTCCAATAATGCACACGTACATGTATTTTTTTCCCCGTCATCTGTTTTTACTTTACCTCAAAAGATCTGATGAAACTAAATCACAGTAAATTTCATGCGAAACATGTTTTAATGAATACCTTTGTGTTCATAACATGTAGATTTTTAAATGTAAATGCATCGTCCATGTCAAAAATCAAATTTTCTTGCTATTTTTTCATAAATTGAACAAACACTACTGTAAATTGAACCTCATGTTTGATATTGGGTTTTGCCCCGTCCCCACGCATTTTTAATTAGTTTGCTCTTGTTTTTTTTCATGAATTTGGTTTCCTCTTTTCATGACATTTTTCCAAAGGATGAAAGTTCAAGGAAAATCCATTTAAAATGAAAGAAATATAAGTTTTCCTGATACACTGGTTCACCAGTTAAGTTCTCAATTGTTGTCAGAAGTCTTTCCGGGTTTTTTCCTATTATCCTACTGAAAGATACAAAAACCAATTCGTCCTTCATTATCGGTGTGTAGATATAAAGACAAGCTTAATCATCCCAACTTACAGACGAAGTGATTTCTGAAACATTTTGTTCGAACCTTGACATTGTCTAGTCTTTGCCAGGGACACAACTAATTATCACTTTTAAGATTTCATGTTGATTTTTTTTTTCTAAATTGCAATTCAGATTGGCATCGACCGCTACTGTTTGTTTTTACTCTGTGATTCTTACAGATACACTCAGCATCGCAGCTACATGCGGCGACAATCGTTTGGTGGTTGTTGAGCAAAGCGCACCCCGTGTGAAGGTGTTCAACAGTGACAACACGCTGGCATACGAGTTCCCAACGGTGCTGCCGAGTGAGGTTGGTAAGACCACAGTTGACCTCCGGAGCGTAGCTGTCAAGAATGATAGTACCATTGCAGTGGGAGATGTGGGGAGGATGGTATTGACAGTGCACAGCCCCACTGATGGTGAGCTCCTTCATACCATACCAGTCAAGATTAAACCTCATTTTCTGGCTTTTGACAGCAATGATCGAGTTATAATAAGTGACTGTACATCACAGACAGTGGATATTGCCGGTGGCAATGGTACTACAAAACGGACCATCAAACCCACCATCAATGGTCAACCAGTGAAATACTGCAACGGTGTATGCACTGATAGCTCAGGTATCTATGTTGCAATGCATAATGGTGCCAACACGGGTCATATCCACCACTATGACCCTCAAGGTGGCTTCCTTCAGTGCATCGCACAGGGTCTGCACTACCCACAGGGTATCACATTCCCATCTGATGGGCAGCTGGCAGTGGCTAACTACAACTCAGTCAAAATGTATCACCAGGTGTGATACAACATTGTAATCAGTCATGTCAATTTCGCATCATTTGAGGCATGTTGATAGAAAAAGTAGAGAGCGCTCCTATCACAACAATGAAATAAAAGTTTTAGAATATTGATACATTGTACATCACGTATTATACAAAAAACGTGTACGGTATTGGATTACATGTGTTACATGTATCAATCGGTCGATTTTGTCCACAAAAGTCGGCGGTTGTCATAATTTCAACAAGTATAATTATAATGAGTCACCTTTTCAGTTCATTCAAAAGAAAACAAATAAAATAAAAAAGTAAACATTGAATCAAATCCGTTGATAATTTTTCAAAAGCGTTTAAAAATCAAATTAGGAAAAACCTAAAGGCAAATAAGGTTTTTTATTCATGTATATTAATTAACATTCATCCTCTGCTCAAGTACTATAAGGAAACACAAATTAAAACGCTGTTCAAGAGAAAACTTGAGATACTACGATAACAGTTTTGTTTCAATATCAATTTCTCTCATACGTTAGATGTATTTCGTTTTTCAACAAACAACATACTGGTTCTGACAACCGAGGGTGGTAATATGTGATATGAATCAAATATGTAGCCCATTGACAAAATTATGTTTGTGCACAATAGACGCTCATGGCTGACTATGAGAGACTATTTAAACAATGAAACTCCAGAAAGACAACAACAAAAATGAATTTGGGCCGAAAGCCTAGCAGGCGTACATCACAATAGTTCAGGCAAACGTTCATCTTACAACAGCAGATAGAAGCTTTTCCCAAGAAATTGCGTCACTTGTACAGCTAAGGTTGATCGTTCTGTTAGAAACATATTTTGATTTATATTCAACCCGCCTGTAAATACGCAGTTTAAGAAAATAATCATCTTATTCTGATTTTGACTTCGCTTATTTCAAAACAAGGTTTTATTAGTTGGTTTCAGTTGCCTCAATGGGTTGAGTTATGTAGAGAAATTGAAATTCGAGAAGAAGGTGGAATAAAAAAAAACATTCCATTGAAACAAATGCAGTGATTATTACAACTCATGATGTTAATCATGTGAGCTAGCTCCTATGAAACGAAACATTGTTTTGTTTCTTTAATTAAAACCAGCATAACCTTCAGGTTATTATGTACTGTAAAGAAGTCACGAGAAATGTTTGATGTAATAACTGACAGTTCAATTATATATTTAGAATTTTCTCGACATCTACGATTATATGTTGTGAGTACATTTTAGATTACATGCTACTCAGTTTGTAAATATTGAATACTGAAAATGAGATGGCCCGATTTGTTACAGTGTTTCAATTAAGCACACGTGATGGGTGCTTGACCAATAGGAATGTATAAGCTTTCCTAAGGATTTTATGACAAGGATTAGCTTTCAATTGAAAAGAAAAAAAAACAAATTTTTAACTCAATGATCAAGATACATGCATACATTTCTTTCAACTGTCCAAAAACAAATTGACACAGTTTCCCAAAAAATCTCGAGATAATTTAAGAACTGTTTAAATATTTCAAGTAGAGTCAAATTCAAAATTAAGTTTGATTGTTCTGTCAAAGACATTTTGTTAAATTGCTGTTAACCTGCCTGTAAATACACAATTTTACGACATATGATCATTCTCTGTTGATTTGACTTAGCTCATTTCAAAACTTAGTTTTATTAGTTGATTTCAGCTGCTTCAATGAATGGGTTGGTATATTTTAAGAAACTTGATCAAAAACATTACATGTAAACAAATCATGTGATAATTACGACTCATGATAATCATACAGACGAAATCCTACAGTGACAAAAAACGGCTTGGGGAAGTTTTAGCTCTTGTTTTCATATTTGCATTGTCGCCAACATACATGTAACACTCGAGTTATCATGAACAGAAGTTACGAGAATTGTTTTATCTTTTGACTAATAATCCAATACATTTATGTATGATCTCGACATCAACGATATGTTTTGAGAAGATTTTAGTTCATATAGATTTCATTAGATAAAGTATGTAAATAGTGAATACTGAAATATACGTATGATGCTAACCTGATTTTTATCAAAGGGGTACATTCAAGCAACGTGATCGGTTCTTGGCCAATAGGAATGTTTTCACTGTCCTAGCTAGGTATTTCATGACAAAGTTCCCAATTGGAAAGGAAAATAGTGTTTTTAAAAAAATCAAATGCTACAGCTATAGCTTATTTTTAACTGTGGTGCATGTTTTGTATGCAGGCTTGTACTTTGCATTTGTGTATGTGTAAGGCCGATACACAGGGCTTCACGATACCAGTACGCGAATGCAATTGACTTTGTGCAAACAGAAGCAGTCACACAAGCCTGACACGAGAAGATACTAATAAATACCCTTGAGTGCCAATTGAACGAAGTCCAAAAGATCGACCGCGCACTCGAGTACCGTACACTCATCTACAATGCACTACACTGTACTTGTTTGTCTGTATATTTTGGCAAAAAAAATGTATAGTTTCAATAAAGTGGGAATTTCTTCAAACTAATCAATGATGTGCTATTACTTAGAAGTTTTGTTCAAATTTTTAAGTGACTTAAAGGAGATAGGCGTTACTCATTTAGCAGACAACACTCTAATTGTTTGGACATTTTTTAATGACACTTAACATTTCGATTCCTAATTAAATAGTCCTGTTATTGAGACTATATTTGAATTTGATGGGGGAGTTTTTAAATGGTAAAGAAGCGGTTTTTTTTTATCTAATTGAATTTATTTTGTGTATTTTTGGCAATACAAATTTATTCATTTTGAAATGGGGAATGGGAGGAAAAGTTGTCCCCCTAATAAGTTTAGGAGTAATTATTCAGCAAACGTAATTTGAATTACCCCCCCCCCCCCCCGAGGTGATTCAGGCGGGTATAGTTTGGACGACTCGAGTCAGTTTATTTGTTTATTTTTTGGTTGACTCGTGACTGGCATCAGACTCGTTACCTTTTGGACTCGGTTTGAGTCAGACTCGGCTAGTGACTGATTCGGACTATGTTCAACTCGAATTGAGTCCATTTCGAAAAACAAAAACGTGTTGAAACGTGAGGGGAAAGTTAAATGAATTTGTTAATGTACTGTTTTACTTTTTTTTTCATATTCTAATGGAAACGGCCCCTTTGATTGGTGTGGAATAATAATAATAAAAAATTGTACATTTGCAATTGTGAGTGTGAATCACCTCTAAATCTCCATCCACATCGGTTAATGCCGTAGAAGTAGCAACATAAAGTTGCAAACAATCTGAATGATGACGAGACATCCAAATTCTACACAATAATCAAAACTACAAAGTGTATTTTGTCCATGAGCTTTAATCCAAGTGCGTTCATCATATACAGCCACTTGCCAGATAGATGGTCAGTCTCATCAGAGCTCTGCAAACAGTGAATTGAATAAAAGTCAAAAGCAACTGCATGGTTTCTTGGGGATATCACTTTTTTGTGATCGCAAATAGACTTTTCATAAAGAATGACTTGAGAATAAAACTGAAAATCATATGAGAAATGCATGTTTTCCGACATCATATTGGGTAAGATGCAGCATTTAATGGAGTTTAGAATTTATAAAGAAAAATAAAGAAAAAAAGTAAAAGGGACTTAGATATCCCGTTTCAGGCGATGAACGCGGGTTAATTTTTAAGAAAAATGAAGAAAAAATGATATCGCCCTTAGATCGGGAATCAGTCTCATTTGGACGTCATCAAGTGTTTGTTTTTTTAAAGGCCGTAGGTACTTTTGAATCTTCCCCAACCCCTTCATCCCCACACCCCTCCCCCTTCAAAAAACAATGAATGCATGGAGACATTTTATTTTAAAAATACAAACAATGGAAAATGGAAATTAAAAAAGTATATACATATCTAATAAAGTTTTTGTAATGAGGTTGGAAATAAGGAGTGCACTGCCAAACAAAATGGCCATCCCTTGTTTTTGCTAAACAAGGAAACACAATAATCCGTTCAAATTACCCCCTCAACGGTAATAAAGGGAGAGTTTGGGTAGACAACTTGAAAAAGACATGCACTGCCGATGGCGCTTGATGACGCCCTCGGTATTAATCCTTAATTGATTTTAGATTCAGGTTTTTTGTCCAGAGTCAGAGTGAGTAAAATATTCGAACAGCTGATCACGAACATCTACTTAACTTGTACCATAGGCCGAGTTCGGGCGATCTGTTAATTGACACGGGTATTTTGTTCGTGCAGGGAGCTATAATGATTAACTCCATGGTTCGTGCGAAACCCAGACAGGTACATATCCTGTTCCGAGTGCAGTGTTCGTGGGTCGTGTATGTTCTTGCCGCCGTTCGGTCGCGCATCGCGAGAACAATACGACCCGTGTCAAGAACAGGCTGCCCGAACTCGGCCCTTGGAGGCGCTCTTAATATTACATTTCACGTCACGTCCACTTCTACTTCCGCGTTGATTGCTTCGAGCCTGAAATTTAACCAACCGAAAGATTCGCTTCTTTCGACTCAACAGAAACATCAGTTTACCATCCAAACCGGGAACGTCGGGTAAATGTGAGCTCAATAATCTTTGTCTTCTTTAAAGTTAAATCCTGGAGAAGCATTTTGTTGTAAAAATCAGATGTGTTATTTTGCATGTCTGTACGTTTGGGAATACATACATGTACATACCATGACAAACGTTAGTCCGAGTAACTTGGACCCAACTTATCGCCTTTTTAAACATTTGGACATGGTCTGGCGATCGCCAGACCATGTCCAAATGTTTAAAAAGGCGATAAGTTGGGTCCAAGTTACTCGGACTAGACAAACGTATATATACATACATGTACATGTAATACTTGCCCCATAAATGAGGCCTATTTACTGAACTGCCTCCGTAAACATAGGCCACACATCCACATGTACAAAAACGTGTCGATTTTGCCAAATTTTGATTTTCACATTTAGGCTTACTTTGTTGTTTTTTTGCTTTAGAAGCATTCTCGCCCTCTATATAGGCTAATCAGAAAGTGCTGCCTTTTTCAGATGTCCATTTTTTGGTGAAATTTCCAGACACATTTGCACACGTTTGCGTATC